ACATTTTACAAAAAGAAGAAAGTTGGAAGAAAGATTCTGAAAGAAGAAAAGGATACTTATAAGTGGAATAATGTTCCCCTTAAGAGCAAATTCACCAGAACGCCTCAAAAAAATTTGATGAAAAAATATTCCCAAGTGCCAAAACCTGTGACGATATAAATGATGAGCTTCCTGCTTTCCAGAAAATCATAAAGACAAATATGATTAATGCTATCATACAGTATACAAATATTTATCTGAAATGTAACAGGGCTGTAGATGATCTCAAAGAGAAGCATATATGATACTTGTAGAGCAGAAGTATTGGCCTTTTTAGGAATTTTATTCTTATTAGGGTGCACAAGTATGTCAAAGCTCAATTTGGAGGAAGCATGGGCAAAAGACAGTACTGGAATTGAAATTTTGCAAAGGGTTATGGGCCTGAAGCAATTCGGAAACCTGTGTGCTGCTATTAGATTCGATGATAAAGGCACAAGGTATGTGTGAAGAAAAACTGATAAGCTTGCTGCACTAAGAGAATTTTTCAATCAGAACTGTCAAAGCTTTTATACACCAGATGACAAACTTACAATCGCCGAGAAGTTGGAACCCTTTCAGAGATGCTCTTTTATTCATCTCCAAAAAGCTTGCAAAGTAAAGTCTGAAAATTTTTGCAGTTGTTGACTCACGAACATTTTACACATTGAAGCTTGAAATTTATCATGACAATCACCCCCCAGGAACCTTACGAGGCTTCTAATTCCAAATGAATTCCAGCCATCAAAACAAGAGAAGTCGGCTGTTCACTGTTTGGTTTTCAAAAGGATATGACAATTGTTTCTTTATGCAAGGAAAAAAAATAAGTGTGTAATACTGTTCAGCATTTTGCATGATGATGACAAAATTGACCAGGGAAAGACTAAACCGCACATAATCCTGTATTATAACAAATGTAAAGGTGGAGTTGACATCATAGACCAACTTCGTAGTAATTTCACTGTCGCACGAAAAACCACGAGGTGGACAATGCCAATACTTTTTGCACTGCTAAACGTAGCGGGCATAAATTCACAAGTGCTCTTGAACTTCAAACCTGATACAAACATCAAGTTTAGAAGATATTTTTTAAAAAAATCTAGCTACATCTTTGATGAAACCACATCTTAAAAATCATCTAAAATTGCCATTTTCCCTGTCACATTCCAAAGCTATTATTAGAAGGTTGGTAACTACAAAAGTGGACAAGACAGCCGAAAAGGATGAGGAACCGCCTGCGAAAATTATCAAAGGATGTTGCGCTGTGTGGTAGAATGAGGAATAATTACACTACCATAAAATGTTCTAAGTTTACCTGCAAAAATCATCTGGGCAGGGACAGTACAAATTAACACATCCTGCTGCAGTGAATAGGGATAATCTGAAGAGTATTAAAGTAGCAAAAGGTTTTTTAAAGTTTTTTCATTTGTGAAATTTATTACTTACCGAACTTTTCTGCACGGAATATTTATAATTTGTAAATTTGATTTATGATCTTAAAATTTTCATACAGAAAATAATATAGCATACTATATAACTTTAAATTACATTTCCAGTGCATTCCATTTTTTGAATTCATTAGAAATTCATAATTTCCATCTTTATTGATTTTTTTTCTGTTATTCGTTTTCTTATATCCCTTTTTACTGTGATGAATCACCTCAATAATGCAATGTACAAGATTAAATAGTTTCAAATACAAAGCAGAGGCTAAAAAAACGACTTGGCATACTACATATGCCAGCCCCTCCAGTTGAGGGTTAAACAAGATTGTAATAATTTCTAACATCATTCTTGGATTCTAAATAATAAATTTAGGTTTTGGCCCTTTTTATTCCAATATACAGTCAAAAGTCTTTAATCGGGACATCAGCTTTTCCGGATTATAGATCAGTTTAAATCTGGTAAGAAGGCATGCAGAAATTATAAAATTAAAAATATGAAACCATAATTTATGAAATAAAGAGCAATTATGATCTAAAGGGTATCAAAATTTAGAAAAAAAAAAAGCTTAATATTTATTTGTTTACTTTATTAAACATTTCTTTCGACGTGCGCATGCGTAAAGCATACATTACGCATAGTCGAAATTGGAAAATACTTGATGTGTATTCGTGATATTTGTAATGACGAGGAATTTGATTTAAATCATATCAAAGACGGAGCACATTGAGATGAAATACTAAATTTAGTAAGGAATTATAAGCAGAATAAAATAAAAACATCTGCCCTAAAGATAAGGATAGTGCTGACAGATCAACTTCCAGTTCATTGCGCATCAGAGATCCAGGTTAACAAATATTGCACTGTTTATGCAAGTGAAGAAGTAGAAAAAGAAAAATCAATGTGACAACGGATGCCTCAAGAGACTGGACAAAGCATTAATAAAATTGCCATAGATATAGGTGTTAAATGAAATAATGAGTTGCTAATCCCCACCTCTTTCATTAATCTCCACATTTTTTAACTGGTCACCCACCAAGTGTATATTAGGTCGTGTTTTCAGGAGTTACTGTATATCTCTCTGGTATATGTATTACATGTATTATTCCAGGGTGTTAGAACCACTAAAAGCCACCCAGACTGTATAGTGGTTAGGGAAGCCCGATTGCGATACCAAAGGGCCTGGGTTCGAATCCCGGAGACGGCATGGTTGTAACTGTCTGTCCCTTCATAGGAGGTGATGGTGGCTCACATATTAGGTGCCTCCATAATAAAGAGACTACCACATCTGGCCTTGTATAGATTAATGGACTGTGTTACACTGTAACAGTTCACAATCTGCCATTGGAAAAAAAAAATCATGAGATTTACAATTTAGGTCTTACAGAAAATTTTAAACTGCTTAATACTAATCCACATAATAAAAAATAAATGATTAAGTATGTGGATTCACAGAATAACTTTCAATTTAAAAAAGAGACTGCAGTATCAATCTCTAAATTCATACGTTATAGAGAATGGTGCAAAAGATGACACGATTAATATTATATGTAAAAAATATATTTATTCAATAGAAAAGTTTTAGTTGTAATTTCTGTAAGCGGGAACTTTAAATCTGTGCTTCCATTTTATTGTTTTTTCAATATGTTAGGTTATTTAATTACGGCAAAGCCTCGAGGGCTATCTGCCTAAGGGGTGGGATGCCTTTATGGAGGATTTTCTATGGGAAACTGGCTCATATACACATTACACATGGGAAAAACCATGAAAATCCCCCTGCAGCCAGCCCGTTTGCGGGATTCGGACCGAACTACCAGTGTTCAGCGACTTTACCACTCGGCTGCTGGTGGTTTCCGATATAAAAGAAATTAGCTTTAAAAACTTAACATCCATAGCTTTATTTAGCATTACTTGTGTATGGTTCTAAAATTTAATACTTACTTATCTTCAAGTAGTTCTGATCACATGAAAAATCTGTTTTAATTAGTTTGGCTATAAAAACACTTTTCTCTTTGTCTCCCTCCTCCTTTTGTGTGTGTAGGCAAGCTCTACATAACAATTTAATACATTTTTGTTGAAAGATGATGTTGGAACTGTTAATTGAAATCTGATTCATTTTTTTAAATGGAGCCTTGTCTTTGGCCAATTCTCGAAGAAATGTTCATTTGTGAAATTTCTTTCACACATCCTGTAAAAAGCTCTGCATTTATAATCGGTGTGTTTATAAAGTCTATATACCAAATCAAAATTATTTTATATTACCAAGTAGCAAATTTTTAATATTTTTCATACATTACAGAAATAAATATATTTGAATTTTGACTAGAAGTGAAATACATCCAACAGCCATTAGCTTATACATTGGTTAAGAATTGAAACAAAACTCGGTAATATCCGCAGAGACAATAACAGTGGGAAAAATGATTAAAAAGTGTATTTAAATAACAACAATGAATGCATTTATAAAAATTCATGTCAGTTACAATTGCATTGATAAAATATTACAAATGAGATGGTATAAATGTAATGCAGAAATAGCATATTTATTATGTATAAATGAGTGCAATTAACAAAGAGCAGTTATTAGCAGAGCGAGTTTATGTTTAAATCATTTTACATGCGGTAGTTTTATATATTGTATGAAGTAAAATTTTTTTCTGGATTTCACTGCAAAAATTAAATTTTCATGGTACCGGATCTCCGTAATTTTACATTTAAAATAATTTATATTTATAATAGGAACTTATGAAGAAAGTAAAACAAAAGAATTCAAAAAAACTAAAAGATTGTAAAGTAAAGAAATATTTTTAAAAACAGCATACTTATTTTTTTTTAACTAAGAACACTTATCCAAAGGAAATCAAAATTATTCATCATTTTTCTAGTAACTGAAAAATTTAAATAAGAGTGACTAATTTATGTGAACTTGCTTATATGATCATTTTCTGTATACTGACAATTTTTTGAACTGTTCTTAATATGATGTAAACAATTCAAAATAAAATGTTAGATTATATGCTTAGCTTTGTCTTGCACATGATTACTACTGACTATGCTTAAAATGACTGAAATGAAATCTCGTAACCATGTAAAATACAACTGAATTTCTTTCTTATCTGAGTATTTAAAATTTTTATGAGATGACATAAAAGCTCATATTGCCTTGTTAAATAGATAATTTAAATAAAATACGGTCAGCATTCTCTATGATGATCATCCAAGGTTTAAAATGATTTGGATCTCCAATGGAGGTGGATGATCTTGGAATACTATGCAACACCTATGCTCTAAAAATACTGGTTACTTTGAGGTTGTAGCTAAAAGGTTCATTGTACATGCTTGAAAAATCAATATTCATATATTTTTACATATATGAATGCTTTGCTGAACTTAAATTCAAACAGAAAACATTTGAAATCCTCAGAGCTATTTAAGTAAAAGCAACACAGATGTATTACAGACCTACATTCTCAAGTTAAAATAGTTATCTAGATTTTTTTACTTTTTTTCTGTGATTATTGGTACAAAAATCAAGAAGCTGAATTCTTATTACCATTTAATACACAGATTATGTAAGATAATTTATAAATTCCATGATTTAAAGTTTTCCTATAAATATCTTAATCTGGAAAACTTGGTTAAAATAAACTGATTACACAGTATGTATTCAGCAGTAGCACTCTTTAAATTTTATTTACAGCAAAAACTGGGAATACTGAGTGTTGAAACAAAATATATATGAATGATTATCATTATACATAAATCCTGCTTAAAACTAAAATAATATTGTTCATTTTATCAATAAAGTTAACAATATATTTATTTAAAAAGAATGATAAATAGTTGCATACAAAGAAATATACATGTAACTGAATTCAAAACAACGATTAATTCTATAAAGTAAAAGTCAGTTTATACAACTCTCAAAAATCACATTCTTGTATAATTATGAATGTTTCAGATAGTTCACAAATTCATATCATGGAACAGTAGCCTGTACATGACCCTTCTGTTTTGTTGATATCTGTCAATGAGAAACCATGTGGAGTTTCTGTTTCCCAAAGACCAGGTGTCTGTAGAATCTGAAAAGCAGTAAAATGTTCTACAGGATTTTGCATAACAGACATATAAAAATCAGTGTAGCCATTTTATATTTTTTGTTTAAAGAAATATTTTTTTAATACTAAAAGACCAAACAAAGTTTTCCTTCAGAATTATATTCCTACCAGAGTAAACACAAACTTTCCCAAGGAAAATGCACATATTTCCTCTCATTTTGGAAAAGTTGCAAGACTATATATTTCTTTCAACACCAATTAACTATCATTATTCAAAAATGGTAACCTAACAGTTAAAAACCAGTTTCTTATATATAAACATGTAGTGATTTGGCATATGTGATAAAAACGTGTGGCACATCCAAATCTGTCTTAAATTAAATGGTATTTTCTTGATTACAGTTGCAAAATGACTGTAATCATATATGTTCTTTTTATCATGAAAATAAATTTTCATTTTGAAGCAACTTTACAGGTTTGGTCAAAAACTGGCAATTTTTTTATTTCTGTTGCAATTAAACAAGTATCCTTGGCATTCTTCAGCAGTTATCTGCTAGATAAATAGTAACAGTATTCTGTCCAGTGGAATTAAATTACAGAAATGGTTAATGAATAGTTTGTTTATTCACTATGTATAATTCAGTTTATTTTAAAGTTTATACAGAGTGTGATTCATGATAAAATAGCCTGCTTTCAATACTATCATATTCTTTAGAATGTGGTGGACACAAAGATAAGAAATTCATGTGTGAAGTCTACCACAGGTCCTAGTATACGAGGAGTGAGACAACAGGCTCTGACATAGAAGCAATAATTCATTATGTTACAACTTCACTTGATATTACAAGAATCATAACTCCACGGCCAGTGGGCATTTCCGTGAGGCTGATGGACCAATGATCCTGTTGGTCCTCTGACATCATTTCAACCAATCAGAGGATGTAAAATACAACCAAAAAATTAAGAGGGCATGATTAATTCAGTCTACAAACTGTTTTAGACATGGGAAGAACTTTGAATGGTCTTAATTTCTCGATTACAGAGACTCTTGCCATTAGCAAGATCCATAATGAGGACAATAACTTAACAATAATGGTTTCCCTGATGGTGCTTCACTTTACACTGGTGTTCCCTTTTGGATTTCACCCAGGGCACTGGTGCTGGCATATCAAACTCAAGTTCTGCTCTTCAGGCCTTAGCAAGTAACCTAGGAAAACAAAGTGCTTATGTCCAGAGCTGTTGAGCAGAATTCAGACAAAGGTTGCTTTCCAGTGGGCCATCACATTGTGGCCTTTGGGGAAATGAGATGGCGGACCTTTTGGCAAAAAAAGGTACGGATATTCTCCAAAGGAACTTCCAAGAGACCTTTCTCTTTGCTAAACTTGAAATTAATTGGATTTATAAAAATTCCTTTCATAATGCTACTGAAAATAAGTAGTCATGGAGGGTGCTACTTAAAGCCAACTGTGTCTCGGACTCTCCTCGTGCTATTGCTGTGGCTGAGTTTAGACTGGATATGACTCCTTGGTGCAAATTAGTTATTAGTAAAGAGTTTGGACTGTATTGTAAAGAAGTATTGGAGAGCTTGTTACCTGATGGTCAATGGCCAGGCATTTGATAAATAAACTTGACAATAATTGATTCTATTACTTCAGTGTTGTTATGTACTGTAATAGAACTTCTCATAGATTTATATTAAATGTATTTTTGTTCTATATGCAGTAAGTAATATGTAACTTTAACAAACACAACCAAGACCAGTTACCACATGGATCTATGTCATGCATGCAGCATATTATTATCACCCCAAGAGGATGCTGTAGTTCTTGCTTTTTGTCCAACAACATGTCACCAAATAATATAATGTTCCAATTTAATTTTGCCTTCTTATTCATTCATTCTGTGCACATCACATCATGAAAATTATGTTTATCTTGTCATTATTGTCAGAAGAAGGCAACTGTTTTGTGAACCAACCTGCATAACTGGCACTGGCAAAGAGCTTGACGGAACCACTAAATTTCTGATAACAAATAATACATGAATGTGGCATTACTATAACAGACTTATGCAAGCAGTGGCATCAAATAAAGTTGCTGGTTGATGTTAAAAATTTTCAAAAGAATATCTAGCAGAAATATTTAAATTTCATTTGTTGAAGAAGTTAATTTTCCCGAATTCTCGTAATTTTTTTCCTCCATCACATATTTAACATTCTAAACTTTTTACATATTTCTCAATATTTAAGCCAAGCTTTTAAAACAAAATTACTAACTTCAGAATAAACAAGACTTTCTAATATTCGTTTCTGATTATATTGTACTTACATTTTAGGCTACACATAATTCTATTCTAGATCTTGCTGAAAAATAATACTATTCAATGATAAATCCATTTTTATTACTTATATTTTTAATTATTCAAATTGGCATTTAGACTGCTAACTTAGTCATAATACTATCCAATATGCAAGCAAATGCCACTAATCTCTTGGAATTCCTGAAGTGTCAACAAACAGCTGTCTGTATGTACTTGAGTACACCAACTGTTTTTCTTGGTTATCACTTTTTGGCCAAAAGCTGGATTTTCCAAGAGTTAATAAAATAATTCAGCTTGGAACTGGCATAAATTGACCAAGTTCCTGTGACTGATTGGTTGACCATTCCTGCTGCTTAATTTAAAAAATTCAGTAACTATAAATACCACTATGGTCAGATCAAGGATGGTCTTTTCAGAATCAGTTTTGATGGAAGACATACACAATGATTTCCTGCTGTGAATCTACATTCGTACATAATGTTTTACAATGACAACAAAAGCAAGAAAATATAATCTGATGACTTCAGATTACAAGCAAATATTCCAGAGAAGAATTTGATATTAAAATTCTCAAAAAAAAAAGAGAATAAAATATCAGAAAAATTTAATTTATATCCACCAGAAACATCTATTAAGTTTCAAATGTTCATAAAAATATTACTTACATATACTATTAATTAAAAGTATTTAAACTTATTCTTTTTGTTTATTTATTTCAATTAAATATATCATTATAATGCTAAATAAAGATTTAAATTATTTACTGCTTTTAATTCACTCAGTTTATTAATCAACAATATATCAATTCAATATTACACACAAATTACAGATCTAATGTTCTGCATAGTGAAAATTACCATGCATGAAGACCGTGGAAGACAAATTAAAGGTGTTATGTTTTGCATAGTGGCAATATTTTCTAGATTATGTCTGTTCCACCTGTCCACTAGTTTTTAAGATATAATCATTTCTATGGATTTTATATCTTAAGTGAAAACTACGCACCTCTTTCGAAGTGTAAAAAAACTGCCAACCTTACTTATATGAATGCAATATTTAATCTATGATACATTTATACAGTACAAAGTCCGAGATCCGGAGTCACTGGAACTTCCACGATTCCAGATTTGGGATTTTTCTAGATATTAGAACATCAGTTTAAATCTAGTAAAATGGCATGTGGAAATAATAAAATTAAATCGCAGTTGTATTCACAATTGATTTTGACGCTGGACTTTCACCATTTGTCATATCCACTAAAGAAGATTTATTTTCAGCGTCAGCAATTTTTTCTGGCATAACAGGATCTACAGATGACCATTTACCATGAATATTATTCTTCAGACATGCACGAGTTTTTTTAGACAGTGTTTGTTGCTTTTCAGACGGTGCCGCTTACTAATATTATGCATTATGATAGCATACGTAAAAAAAAAAAAGAAATTTACCAGAATAATCTAAATAAAACAAATTCACGAATAAAATATTATCAAGAGTCTTAGAAGAACATTTTTAGAATGTAAACAAAGATAATTGGCGAACACTTATTAGCTCAAAAACCCACGCTTGAAAATGTAAAAAAATGTGCAGAAAGCAGTTACAGTTACGGCTAAGATCAAAGGTTTGCTCGCAGTAAAAAGTATTACTTGCAGGAATGAAAAAATTGTCAAATAACTCTTCTAAAATGTTCGTTTATCATTTTACAGACATTTAAATGCCAGTATATATTTAGTGTTATGAAATAAAATTAAAAAAGAGATGTTGGGTATAAAATTTATAAACAGGAGTTGAAGTTTACCAAAAAGAATTTTAATAACGAGTCTACTGTTGGAATATCAAACCCGAAAATTTTCCCGACTACACTTCGTAGAAGGAAATCGCTGAACACTGGTAGTTTGATACAACTTTCAAATCCCGGCGAATGGGCTGGCTCCATGGGCGTTTTCGTGATTTTCCGCATGTGTAACGTATATGCAGTATCTTCTGGATGCATAGGTGAACAAAGCGGACAAGGGCCCATTAGCAGCTGAGCGGTAAAATCGCTGAACACTGGTAGTTCGGTCCAACTTTCGGATCCCGGCAAAATTTAACATGGGAACTCTCATAGACACGAACAATGAAAAGCAGGTTTGCCCGCTAGTTGTGATTTATGAAATTAAATATGCACACATGAAAATGTTATATTAAAAACTGGTTACCATTTAAATTATCAAAATTTAAGTTTATTTTAATTCTAAAATTTAGTGCGAAAATTTGGGCCTGTTTAAGAGAATCAATTTCTTTATGTTTGGTCTTATTTAACTTAGTTTTAAGCATAAATTAGAATCCACATTTAATTTTGTTCTGTACTTACTTTTTAAATATAACATGGACGAAAATCTTTGTTCACACATATAGGTTGTGCAAAAAAGCAACAAAAATTCAATAACTTTATTTGAAATGCTTCTAATTTGTCTTTTTTGTCTTTACGCATGCACATTTCACAGTCTGTTAGTGAAACATTAGGGTTATCTTTATCTTCTATAAAAGTTCTTAGTTCTAAAAACCTTTTTATAATCAAATATGTACTTATTGCATTGCTTGATCAATAATTGCTTCCTAAGAATGGCATTAATTTTGCGAGGTATTGCTGCTTACCTAAATTTACCAGCGAGATTTGTAACTAAATGAATCAGTTTAATCACTAATTTAATATATCACATCCATCCTCTACTCTTATAACTATTTATTAATGTATACAAATCATAATTAAACATAATAACAGCTTGTCATTAGTTTTTTTCAATTAATTTTAATTTCATTTCAAATTCAAACTGTCCTACAAAAACTGGAGTCGGAAGCTACCTGTTTTTAGTGACTCCAGCTCCGACTCCTTTTACCCAAAATCTGCTCGATTTCGACTCCACAGCCCTGCTTTGTACTGTATTACATTCAAACAATGGCTAATACGATTAATTTTGCACATATGTATATGAACAATCTAGGTGTTCAAAATCAATGTACATGAATAATTAGGTGAACCATAGATTTGTCATCAGAGAGAAAAATCATCAAATAACATGCAGCCTTTCAGTAAATGATCATCTTCCCAGTTCTACACAATGTTATAAAATTCTAGAAAACTTGAGTATTTAATTTTATTTATATCTCAACATGGCAAATCCAGTTGGAAATATATCCAATATATATGTTTCATGGATGTCTACATAATATATCAGAAAATCTGTTGAATTAAATCAGACATTACTATTAGAAACAACAAATCAAAAGACATATTTCTCAATTCATGAAAAATATTTTAATAAAATTGATTTCTTGTTTTTTATGATTATATTATTATTTAAATCTATACTGAAAAATTCAGTATGTCTAAACATTCCTCTTGCAATTATTTATGCTTAATGATAGAGCAGTTGTATTTCAAATAAAACTGCAAAGCTGTTTTACTGACACTTTTAGGAGACATCAAATTTGACAAATCTCTCTTCTCAGACCAATACCCCAACCACTATAGTTTAAATATCATTAGCAATTGAGCATAAGAGAATAAGCAATGGAGAACATAGGTTAATGGTTCAAACATAATGTGAATTAGAACAAGAAAAAAAAAGAGGAATGTTATGATTATCATTAGTAGAAGACACACATAAAATGATGAACGTTGCATGATTAAATGAAATAAAGAGAAAAATATGTTATTACATGTTATTCTTACTTTTTCAACTAATTCTTCAAAAGCACATTGTACACCATCACAAGTTTTTGCACTAGCTTCGATGAATAACATTGAATGTTTTCTAGCATACTTCATTCCTTCTTCTCGAGATACCGCACGGTTTTCCTATATATGACAAACAAATAACTCTTTCAATACTTAAATTACATATATATATGACTTATGCCTTTGTCATTTTTTATGTCTGTTATATATATGCATGTGTACATATATAAAAACAAAATTCTAACTTGAATTTGGAACAGTGTCTTAAAAGTTCTAGTTTAATTCAGATATTTCTCCATTTCATAACACCGGGGATGCAGCTAATTCAGAACTGAAAGTCAAAATTTCAAACTATTCAAACTACATTTTTTCCCCCTTATAAGCCTTCATCTTGAATTATGCCACATTTCATTTCAGCTCACTTGTGTTCAAAATCATATAATGAAAATGTAATGGTGTTGATTTCTTTTTTCAGAAACAGGTATTACAATGGCCAATAATTTATGTTGGCTGAAAAATGCTTGTCAACCTCAATAAAAAAAATATTATTATTAATTTGACCATGCTTTAAGTTCTTTACAACAGATCTACTATTTTGTGCTTCAACATGTTGATATGAGTGTATCTCAGTTCCAATTAATGTAATAATATATGTACAACAGAACCCTTAAACTACGAACATAGTTCATTGCTGTATGCAGATCGACTTTTCCTCCATAAGAAATAATGCAAATTGAAGCAACTTAATCAAGTTAACTTTATTCAATATTAAGTACTTATCTTGGGGTTGAAGGAATGCTTGTATAATGATATAATAACTATACTTAATTTCAGTAATTAAATGTTTCATTTTTTCATACTGTTTATACTAAAAAAGTATATATCAGTAACAATCATAGTAAAAAGAATACTATTATTCCTAGGAAGGTAGGTTATCCTTTCACACAGTACTTATTAGTCAAGGATTGATTCATTACCATTTGAACTTTCTTTGGCATTCATACAATTTGAGTTTTCACTCAAAAAAAAAAATCTGATGTGTACACCACATGACTTCCTTGTACGGAATATTAAATTATACGCATTTTTTCTTGCATTTCGTTTAAACTTATTGGATTTAATTAAATCTACTTCACCAACAGCGCATAAACCACAACAGAATAAATGCATTCTTTAAAATTCACTCTAGTATTTGTTTACCATAGCGACACTCTGGCGCAAGATTCACTTAACAGTATTATATTTCGTTCATATTATAACTCAGAATGAACAAAATTTATATCATTTAAAGAATTATCCAATCGTTGCCACATGTTCTATTCAAATACTATAATAAAGCTAGAATGATGTATAAAAGAAATTAAGCACACAAAACAAAAAAGAAACAGTTTTTCACAGACGATTGAGTATTTCTCATTCAATTAATTCAGTTCTCACTTTGCGACAAGGCAAAAATACATAAAAACTCAAAATATCTGTATTAAAAATTACTAATTATTAAAAATCAAGTAAATCTTAAACACTTATTTCCTCGAAAACATTCCAGAAAGGATTAAGCACGATTTAAATCGCAATAATAAATGAAGGCGTTATCTTTATTGTTGCAAAGCTACGTTTCTCTAGATTGGCAACAAATTCCCTACTCTGCTGTTTCAAATGTAAACAAGCAATGGCCACCATCAAAAAAATTATTAGGCTTAGCGGCACTTAAACAACTTTTAAATTATTGATAATTCTAAAAATATTGCATACAGATTTACTAAAAGCATAAAAACCTTAACCGGAAGATAAGAACAACATAATTCAATCATTTTTAAAGCAAAAAAATGTACAATTTACAAACATATAAGAGTAAAGAAACTGAGATCACTGAGCCGGGTAACAGAGAGGATATATTTATAAATATATTTATATATGTTTAGCGCGACCGATTGGAACCAAAATACGAGGTGCACATCTACATGTTATAGTAGTCCTATATACAAAATTTCAACGTTCTGAGGCTACTCATTTTTTAGTTATGCGAGATACATACGTACGTATGTACATACATTCATACAGATGCCACGAAAAATTCTCTTCAGAATTCATTTTAAAGCAGTTTTATAATTTTTTTGGAAGAAAAGATTCTTTTATTCTGTCCTTATGTACAGACATCACGAAAAAACATCGTTAAATTGCATTCGAAAGCGGTCAAAATGGTTATTTTCGTTGAAATATGCTGCCTGAAACTTTTTGCGATTACAATACTTCCTTTTTACTTCGCAGAAGGAAAATGTTCTATGTTGTTTTTATTACTATTTAAATTTCTGTTAAAAGCTTGCATAATATTATCATCAAAGAAGTTGTCGCAATTCATGGAATGCAACTTCCCTTACAAGGTTCTACGTCTTTGGTAAACATTCCAAATCATTCCTTGGGCTGCATTCGCACTATAGTTTAAATATCATTGCTGTCAGTCATAGTCCTAAGCATAATAGTAACATTTAGAATGAAAAAAGATCTAAGCCACAACAAGTCAGAAAAGGGTAACATTGTGCATACTGACATATTCTTGCTCACATATTTGGCAGATTTTAAATTTGCAATATTTTTATCTTTTGTTATCATTTACAAAAAAAAAAAAAAAAAAAAAAATTCAGTGCTACCATAGTGAAAAAATTAGGCACTTCTATATTTTAATACAATAAAAATTACACAGTTCAAGTTTTCTATTCTTAACCTTAAAGTAGATGTCAATTTATTCAGCTTTATGATACAACACCACACATTTTGCTCTAACTACCTGATTTCTCCCTCACTTCTCTTTCATGGAGGTTGATCAAGTGCTATAAGCACCGCCCATGCAGGGAAAAAATTCATGAAGGAAATAAAAGGTTGAAACTTTCAGTAGTTTTTTAATATCAGCTCAACCCTCTCAAATTATCAATCGTCGGTGAGTTAAGTTTTTGCCAACAAAAAAAAAAAAAAAAAAAAAAAAAAAAAAAAAAAAAAAAAAAAATATTTTAAAAAATAACGGACAATGAGAATCACAATATTTACATATCAATGCAACCATCTTAGTTCAATTTGGCCATTTTTTATGCATGAAGAGGTATTACTTACTAGGTACAAGTTGGCGGTTTAACTTTTTTGAAGATTCATGGACATTTCTAAGCTAATGACATTTACCATAATTATTAAAATAGGATTGTGTGATAATTAAAAAAGCTTCTTCATATTTTTCTGCAATTTCTTTGCATTATTGTTAACCCTAAAACAAAAATCAAAGAATTGCACACATTGACATCATGTAAATCTCAGCCAGACGAGCTACCTACAAAATGTATCTCATAGTTTCCTTTAGAAATTTTTCAGACGAATTCAGTACTGTGGCAGGAATTTTACTATCATTTCTTTTACTGCTTGCAATTTCCATAGGCCTATATTTCAAAATTAAGTTTAAAGCAATAAATATCAGAAGTTGTTTAAAAAAAAGTTCCAAGAATGATTATGTGCACGGCTGCCAGAGTCTGGCACATTCTAAAAATTTAGCAACTTCTACAAAGGTGTTTGCAATTACATAAAGGTACCAGAATCACATAAAACAGCAAACAATTAAAGAAATTGGAAAACATCCATAAGAAAACACTTCCTTTTTTTCCCCGCTCTCCATGTACATAGACATTTATTTTCACTCAAAAAAAAAAAAAAAAAAAAAAAAAAAAAAAAAAAAAAAAAAAAAAAAAAACAGCGTGCAAATTTGATCGTAACTATTGAATTTGTGTTTACTAATTTAGGATCAACAATTAAAAATCGATCACTGGCTGGCACAGAGTTCAATAGTTAGAAGAGACAGGCTTGGCCTGACCTTTGCAAATAGTTTGCAAGAGATTGTCTTTGTTAGTAAGACGAAAATAATCACTACATGGATGAATTCATTTTAAAACATAGAGAAGCTAATTCTGTGAATGCACTCAGGAAAGGGAAAATTATGTAAATATTTTTAAAATTTTAGAACCTGGGAGAAAAAATACATGAGAAAATTTTGATATTTATATCACAGTAAGAAAGCTCCCTTATTATCTGCTCTAAGGATGAATATTTACAAACAAAAGTTAGTTACTCATTAGCATTAGCCCTTTTACATTTTAGCAGGTTGTCTCATTGTTCATACAGTCATTTTTAAGTGTAATACTTTTTTTAATTTTACAAATATGTATTATTGATGTATGTAAACTAACTTACAGCTTAATGGTTTAATACATTTTACTCATTAGCTCAGAGCTAATCCCAGGTCACAAAAAAATAATAACCCAATATAACGTATGAAAATACCTACAGAAATATTAGCTTAAGAATACATTTATTAACCTTATACAGTCAAAAGTCGTTAATTCGGACACCCATAATCCAGAATGATCTATAATCCGGACCTCAAAGCTAAAAACTTTCTGCGCATGCGCCACGTTGGCACAGGCGTTTTACGTGTGCGCGTAAAACCTTGACTACTGCGCATATGCGTGTGCGCAAGTGCAGAATATGTTTTCGCCTACGCATTTAATGTATAACGGACGGTGTAAGCTAAAATTATCTAATTTTCTATTTCAGTTAATGTTAATGATTGGGTTGTTCCTTAATCTTCGAATTGGATCCCGCTTATTATTTTTTGCAGACTGTAAGAGCAATTTTATAAAAGTAAACTTGAACTTTCGATTATGTCAAATAGAATTTCTGATGCTGGAACTTCCAAAGGATCTACAAACGAAAGTATGTTTCGATGTCCAACAAACAAAAAGTGGAATTGCTGCAAAAAAAAAAATGGATAAAAAGACATGAAGAATGTTACAGAGAGGTTAGTGAAAACGAAAAAAAAAAAAAAATTTCGATTGACAATTTAGTCGGTATTCTCGGCACAGCAATTAACGGGACTTAACAGCGGAACTTTGTAACTGAACAAGAAATTATGTCTATTTATAGAATTAAAGAGAAAGTATTATCGCCGCATAAAATGAAAGCAACTTAAAACAACTTACATGGAAAGAAATGTTTAATAAAGTAAACAAATAAATATTAAGCTTTTTTTTTTTGTAAATTTTGATACCCTTTAGATCATAATTGTTCTTTATTTCATATATTACGGTTTCATATTTTTAATTTTAGAATTTCTGCATGCCATCTTACGAGATTTAAACTGATGATCTATAATCCGGAATCGCCGAAGTCCCGACGAGTCCGGATTAACGACTTTTGACTGTACAAAAAAGTTTTATCTTATGAAATGAACATTTTAAAAGCAATACAATACCTTATCAATTTTGTTTCCCACTAGCATTTTGACTATGTTAGTTCTTGTTGAATAAGTCTCTAATTCATACAACCATTGGTCTAATCTTTGAAAACTTTGACGGTTTGTTACATCATATACTGCAATAAAAAATTTTATTTTTTCAAACTGCAAAATAATGAAAACATTTCTTTTTCAAAGAATGTAACTCTTTTCACAAAGACTTTTTACAGACCTAGAATAGCTCCTTGTGCTCCACGATAATAACTTGGAGTCAATGTACGGAATCTTTCTGAACCAGCTGTGTCCTATTTCAAACAAACAAAACTTAATAAAAATAAGATACCATAACAAAATACAAAATGGGTTTACGACAACAGAGAACCTGTTGGCAACAGTACATTTTTTACTCGTGAAACTTGCCAATGGCTAATTGGCAATGGTTTTACACGATATTAAGCATAATGTCAACAGAAAATACACAGCACATACAAATCAAATGTCAAAAGAAACAGCATGACAGTAAGAATATGTAAGTTAAACTTACAGTTAAGTAGAGAAAAAACACATTATGCATATGTAAAAAAAAAATTAGTTGGTTAAACATGACATTAAGTATAATGTTACCATAAAAAGTATGATATTAAACAAATGTACAAATTTAGTTTACTAAACATACTACTCAATATATATGAATTAAAGCAGAAGAAAAAATATATTACTACACATAAATAAAATTTAGCTTGTTAAACATATTTAGTACAGTACAAAGTCCGTAATCCGGACTTGTTGGGACTTCTGGATTAGGGTTTTTTCCGGATTATAGATCATCAATTTAAATCTGGTAAGATGGCATGCACAAATAATACAATCAAAAATATGAAATCGTAATTTATGAAATAAAGAACAATTACGATCTAAAAGGTATCAAAATCTACAAAAAAAAAGCTTAATATTTATTTGTTTACTTTATTAAACATTTCTTTCAATTAAGTTGTTTAAGATGGTTCCACAAAAAATTCGAAAAGTTCCTCTTTCTTGTGTCATATATAGTGGACTTTCCAATGCCATACTTCTCGCATAATTTTGAGACGGATAGGCCTTTATCCATTTTTTGCAGCAATTCCACTTTTTGTTTAATGGACATCGAAACTCAGCTTTCGCCTCGTAGATCCTTTGGCAGCTCCAGAATTGGAAACTCTTTTTGACATAATCGAAAGTTCAAGCTTAATTTTTATAAAATTGTTCTAACAGTCTGCAAAAAATAATAAGCCAAATCCAATTAGAAGATTAAAGAACAGCGCAATCTGCAACATTAACTGAAATGCCTTAGATAATTTTAGCCTAGCTTATACCATCCGTTATACATTAAACGGCCATGCGTAAATGCATAATGCGTTCACACATGTGCACAAAGTTTGTAGCTTTGAGGTCCGGATAATAGATCATTCTGGATTATGGATGTCCAGATTACAGACTTTGTACTGTATATATGAAGGGTTTACATCCACAAAGAGTCTATTGAAGACAGTGCATTTTGTGTTGTGAAGCTCATCAACAGTAATGGTTTTAGTGATATATGGTTAAGTTTTGAAATAAAACATAACATAAAACTCATACAAGTCAAATTTAGCATTTTAAACATGATATTTACAGCACAGCGTGATATTAAGCATAAGTTACATTAAACTAAAAATTAACTGATTAAACATATTATGCACATGTAAGTCGAATTTAGCTTGTTAAACATAAAAAATTCACGTTAGCAAGAAAAGCACAAGGGCAAGAAAAAAATTAGCTGGCTAAACATGATATTTAATACAATTAAACTCAGGTTGGTAGAAAAATATGACATTAAGCATTTTTAAGTAAAAATGGTAAAGTTCTGTTATCTGGATGGGATTCAGATATCGCCAAAAGCTGACGATTTCGCGAAAAATTCAAAGCATAAAAATAATCGGCAAAATGTTTACAATACGGTTAAGTTAAAGAAAAATCCACGAGAAAAGAGTAACATAATAGATACTTGTAAAATTTAAAAAAATTAATTCAAATTAAACAACTTCCCAAAGAAAAAAACTTTCCCAGGAAAAAAAAAAAAAGGTAGAAAATTAAGATTAATGTGGAGTCATGAAACTGGGGATATCTTTTAAAATGTGTGAAAACACTTATAATGTAGGTCACTTTGCCACCAGATAAACTAAATTAAATAAGAATATAATTGGTTACACTCAGTGCCGCATCGACATTTATTTCGTCATTTTGCACTACACCATAACTTTTCAATAGTTTGCATACGACAACCATTCTTGGGATCCATAAAATTATATTTATGGTTAATGCCGAGATGTTCAAATCTGGCCTCTGTAATTCTTCAGTGTTATTCCTTTCCGACAATTTTTGTATATTATAGTGTCATCCATAATATTTTCTTCAATAACTGGTTCTGGCAGAGTGGTTAGGCATGGTAATTAAAAAATATTCTTTTGTTTCATGGCAAATTCCACCGTATATGAACTGGGATGAAAGGATGGGATCAACTTTGTTTTTCGACATGAAAACAGACTTCAACAATATTAATAGTACCGCCTATTTTAACTGAGGGTGCAGTTATTAATGCATGGCTGTAGATTTGTAACTGTTCCAATCAACAACAGTGCAATAATTCAAATCAAACTGATAGTGATCAAATTCAAGAGCTGTTAATTCTAAGCGCCATCCATAAATGAAACAAATTGAAGTTAAGAAACTAATTCTCAATCTTGAGAATATAATCCTCTTTTCTTTTTTCTCAGCACATCACACCTTCATATCTCCATTTTGATGCTTCCTTTCAATCATGTAGAGATTTTACAATTTTTTGTGCATTTTCTTTCAGAGTGAATACATAATTCCTGTTTCTGAAGAAATTGTATGGAAGATGTTTCATCATTAAATTAAGTAAATTTTCATATCCATATTAATTCAATTGGAAGATATATTTCAGTGTCCTCCTTGGGTACAATGACCACTCGTCCCGATTTTAGGGGCAGTCCCGCCGATTTTTTAAAATGTCCCTTTTTAGTAAACACCTGCATTTCTTATTTTAAATGTACTATAAAAATATATTACCTATTATTTATTATAGTGAATATAAAGAAATAAGAAATACATAAAAAACACATAAAATGCATGCAGAGTAAACTAAATCAGGCGATGTAACGAGTTATGTTTACTCGGTGGTGTTTGATCACTGTTGTTATGTCTCGTCAAGGAATATGTATTGTTAACGGAGAAACATTAGCTGAAGGCCTGTTTGCTTTTCATACCATAAACCACAATCAAAGTTTCAGATCAATTCATTGTACGTCACAAGTGATCAAAACATTGTATGACAAAGAATTTGCATGTGCAAGGACAAAAACCGAAGCAATTATTTGTAATGCTTTTTCACCATATTCGTCTTCACAATTGTAAAAAAAATTAGATAAATGTACATTTATATCCAGGGCTGTGGAGTCAGATCATGGAGTTGGAATTGGAGTCGGGCAGATTTTGGGGTAAAAGGAGTCAGAGATGGAGTTGCTAAAAACAAGTTGACTCCAACTCCAGTTTTTGTTGGACAGTTTGAATTTGAAATTAAATTAAAATGAATTGAAAAAAAAATTAATGACAAGCTGAGTTACTATTTTTATTTATGGACAATATACATTAATAAATAGTTATTTTCTATTTTATTGACATATTAATAAATAAATATAAGGGACGAAGATGGATGCGATATTTTCCATAAGAGTTCAGTTAGTTACAAATTCTGATTCATTTAGTTACAAATTTCACTGGTAAATTTAGGTAAGCAACAATAGCAGCAAGAACTCGCAAAATTGATGTCATTCTTAGGAAGCGAGCTGGAAAAGGAGCAATTATCGATCAAACAATGTGATAAAGAAGTACATTTGATGATAAAGAGGTACTTAGAATTAAGAACATTTTAGAAGATGTACATAACCTTAATGTTTCACTAACAGAAGGACTGTGGAATGATCTTGCAGAATTTCAAACACTTCTTTCTACACCGTGACAGGAGACGAGAATGGAAGAATGGATGTTTGTTCTTTCTAAAATGGAGGGTTTATTGCAGAAGGAATTTCTTCAATGAAAAGACAATGAAATCTTGACAATGACAATGAAATCTTGCTGGGTTCAATATATGTAGATCTGAAACACTGAATTTTCTTGGGTGATGAATAAATTAAAAAAGGCAAAAAAAGCCATCTATGAACATTAAGAATGAAATTATTCTCAGAATTTCTTTGGATAATTCAAATCAGGACAGTCAAGCTGCAAACATTGCAATTGAGTCTCTACCATCCTCTTCCAGTGATGAAATAAATAATTCTCAGAATTTCTTTGGATAATTCAAATCAGGACAGTCAAGCTGCAAACATTGCAATTGAGTCTCTACCATCCTCTTCCGGTGATGAAATAGATTTTGGGAAATATTTTTTAATAATATTGAAGAGACTAAGGTAAAGCGAATGAAAATAAAAAACCAAGAGCCTTTAGGTATAAAAATGAAAAAAGTACAAACAAGATTTCTACACAGCCTTTGAAGAAATAGAGATATATGATTGCACTTGCAAGACACCTCTTGTAGAACTTATAAAAATCTATCCTGAAAAGTTAAAAGTAGCCCTAACAGTAACAGCTCTTCCTCCTACTCAAGTTAGCGTGGAAAGACTTTTCTCCGCTTTGAAGTTTATCAAATCAGATTTATGGCCCTCCAACAAAGATCTTGATGTAAAAAAAATTGATTGATTTTAATTAACATTTATTAATTGCTATGCCATCAATTTTTTCTGTAGCATCTATTACTCCTTTTACATAAAAAAAAAATATGCTGTAACTCATGTGTATATTATATACATATATGAGGGAGTCGGAGTCGAGTCAGAATTTTTAAAATTCCAGGAGGTCATTCCCCCTCCCCGACTCCACAGCCCTGATTGCTGGACTGAAGAACTGTTCTGCATATGGTTGTCTGCACGGCTGTCAGAATTTAACAACTTTTACTAAGATGGTTGAGATAATACACAAGTCCCAAATACTTTTTAAGTCTTGCAATCCATGTGGTAATCAAAAATTCTTTAAATTTTTTATTTTGATTGAGAGAATCGGTGGAGAAATTTCATGAAATCCCAGGATTCTGAAGAACAACTGGTTTGTATAAAAATGGCGATACTCTTCCATTATCGGGACCAGATTTAGAAATGTAAGTATACACGTGTATATGTATGTATGTATGTATACATTTATACAGGGCTGTGGAGTCAGAGTCATGGAGTTGGGCAGATTTGGGGGTAAAAGGAGTTGGAGCTGGGGTCTCTAAAAACAGGTCGACTCCCACTCCAGTTTTTGTTGGACAGTTTGAATTTGAAATGAAATTAAAATGAATTAAAAAAAAATTAATGACAAGTTGAGTTATTTTTTATGGACTGTATACATTAATAAATAGTTATTTTATATTTTATTGACATATTCATAAATATAAGGATATGTGATATTTGCCATTAGCAATTAAACCGATTCATTTAGTTACAAGTCTCACTAAATTTTGGTAAGCAGCAATAGCAGCAAGAACTCCTAAAATTGATGCCATTCTTAGGAAGCGAGCAGGAAATGAGCAATTATTGATCAAGCAATGCAATAAGGAAGTACATATTTGATGATAAAGAGGCTTTTAGAATTAAGAACTTTTTTCGGAGATGTAGATAGCCCTAATGTTTCACTAACAAAAAGACTGTGAAATGATCTTGCAGAATTGGAAACATTTCTTTCTATACCATATATATCCACAAAAAAGCTGAAATCTGAAGAACTGACAGGAAGTGAGAATGGGATGTTTGTTCTTTGTGAAATGGACTGTTTATTGCAGAAGGAATCATTTCTTCATTGAAGAAAAGAGAAACTAGTTTTCTAGATAATGAGATCTTGCTAGGCCTAATATATGAAGATCCGAAACACCAAATTTTCTTCAACTTTAAAAAGGCAAAGAAAGTCATCTATAAACTTTCATTAAGAATGAAATTATTCTCAGAACAATTGGGGAATTCGAATCAGGACAGTTAAACTACAGACATTGCAATTGAGCCTCTATCATCCTTTCCCACTGATGAATTAGATTTTGAGAAATATTTTTGGATAAATTTGAAACGGCTAAGTCAAAGCAATGAAAATAAAAAACCAGAGCCTTTAGATATAAAAATGAAAAAATACAAACAAGATTTCTACATGGCCTTTGATGAAATAGAGAAATATGATTGTGCTTGCAAGACATCTCTTTTAGAACTTATAAAAATCTATCCTGAAAAGTTAAAAGAAGTAGCCCTAACAGTAACCGCTCTTCCTCCTACTCAAGTTAGTGTGGAAACACTCTTCTCAGCTCTGAAGTTTATCAAATCGGATCTATGGCCCTCCAACAAAGAAAATTTTGCCGAAGCTATACTGTTTCTTAGAAATAACTAATGCCAGTGTTTCCATTTCATAATAAATGCTAATTCATATAAATAATTTGCTATGCCATCAGTTTTTTTTTTTTTTTTTTTTTTTTTTTTTCTGTAGCATCTATTAGTTCTTTTGTATAAAAAATAAGCTGTAACCCATGCGTATATGTTTACATATATATATATATATATCTATGAGGGAGTTGGAGTCAGAGTCGAAGTCGGTCATTTTCCCTACCAACTCTTCAGCCTTGCAGCTATACATACATTTCTGAGCCTGGTCCCGATAACAGAAGAGTACCAAAATAGTTTGGTTTGTACACAACCATATAAGCTTATCTCACGGTTAACACTGGATTTGAAACGAAAAATACTCTGAACCACAGTTCTCTTACTTCCATTTTATTATTTGATAAAATTTAACGAACTAATTTTCTCTTAAATTCTAGGGAAGCATATTTGCCCTTTTAAATTCTTAACGAAATATTTTTAAATTATCAGTTATTAAATTTAAGAAACAAAGAAATTTTTATCCTATAGTTAAAAGAAACAAATAGTCAGCACAGAATTTGCAAATATACTGACAACAATTAAAAATATAACAGTATTCTGAAATATCGTAATATACCTATTTTTAATTTATAAGTTTTTACATTTACAATTTACACATTTACAATTACACACATTTACAATTACAGGCCCTAGCTTCATTTCCTGCACTTCTGATTAATTATTTCTTGAAAAATCTTTCATGAGAGATAATATTAAAACAATAAAATAGGCGAGGGAAAAAACATTTTAGAACATAGCCATAAATCCTTAGTTGGTGGATGTTTGCAGACAGACTATTTTACTAGGAAGCACTTTCGCAGAGAACCCGGTAAATGTAAACATAGCCAACTTTGGCGATAACAGTTCAAACCTGGTAACCCAGCGGATTTATCATATTCGCATGTTCGAAGTTTGCAACCATTCCTCTTGCGTTCATTTTGTTGATTCATTTTGTTCATTATCACTGTCGTTGTTCGTATTTGCAGATTTATATTATTCTTCTCTTATTTATTATTATTTTTCTGAATTTTTTAACAACAAATAGATAGAAATATTTTCGTAGATAGATGCCGGTTCTCGGTTCGGAATGAAAGGTACGGCGGGAGGGTTGAATGCTAATTTGTAACACGGCTGTTCACGTTGTGTTCTTAATTATTAACAGCTCTAAGAACCAGCAATTTAAATAACTAAGTAATGCTTTTATTTTTATTATTGGTTATTGTCATCTAAAATTATGAGAATAAATCAATTTTCTGGCATAAAATTTTAACAATATATTGTTAATGCTTTTCTAACAATAACCTTTCAGAGGATGGCAGGTGTGACATAAATAGATGATTAAATTGTTATACAAAATATTATTGATTATCTAAGATGACAGAATAGTTTGATGCATCGCCATGGTCATCAAAATTAGCAAAACACTGCTGGTGTAAGGAATATATTGTTTTCTGTGTTAACTGGAATTTAAGACAAAATTTTTTGTTTATCATTTTTAACTGGTTAATTTCAGTACATTAATACTAATTTATATTTTTCAAATGAATTTTTATTTCCGTTATAAATGCTTATATACTGTCTTATGCTTATTCGTTTCTGTGCTAACTTGAATTTAATACAAATTTATTTAGTATATCACGTTTAACCAGTTAGTTTTACATCTACATGCTTATTATCTGTGAATTTTTACTATCATATGCTTAATATATTGTTTTGTCTGCTAACTTGAATTTAAATGCACTAAAAATCACGTTTGCGGCTCAGCTCTTTGCCGATGAACCACGAGCTTGGCGAGTATAAATGCAACGGCGCCAACGGGTTCTCTGCGGATGAAAACCCTTTTACTATTATACACAACAACATTTCAACTGAAAAAGTTATTTTTGTCTCCATAAAACCCAATAAATAAACCCATGTATCACATATGTCGAACTGTCAAAGAAATACGTGTTATTTCAGTGTATTATAATTTATTTTTTAATTGTGCAGAATTAATTCACATGTGAACAGTGTCAAACTTGAACTCTGAAAATCAGTTCTTAAATTGGTGAAAAATGATATATTTAACATAATATCACCAAAAAGCCCATTAATCTCATATAATTTTATAACTGCATAATCCGAAAAAAATTAAAGCAGGGAAAAAGGATTACATATCTACGGTCACATATCAGCAAGTCACTTTTTTAGAATGTGTATGATTTCAGAAAGGAAGAGTTTATCAATAAAATATATAACTCACCCAAATTGCAAGCTTGGCTTTGTTCCCATCTACAGAAACAGTTTTTACCTTGAAATCCACACCTGTAACAACATCTCGTTTAGCTAATTATATGTATATACAGTGAACTAAAACACTGTTCCTCGAAACTAACTCACCTATAGTAGCTGCAAGTCCGGGATCAAATACATCATCAGTAAATCTCAAAAGCAAGCTATGGGGGAATATAATAAAATAAAATCTACTCTCGTTTTTCAATATTAATTCAAATAAATAAAATTATTTATTCAGGTAATACAGAAATTATGTAAATGAATAAAAACACAAAACGTCGCCATCTCAAATTACGCAATATTAGATTTCATGCACAATATACTTTCAGAAATTTTCTCACCTAGATTTCCCAACATCACTTTCACCAATTATTAGAATCTTTAATGTAGTCAAAACAGTATCATCATCCATGTTCTCGATAAACCATCTAAGGGTAGAAAAGTAATCAAAAGAAAATGAAAAATTTTAACTTTCCTTTACAAAATGACAAGCAAGTACTGATACTGTAGAAGCAAAGGAAAGTCCGTCGTATTTAAAGAATTAACGGATAAGCTGTTGCACCAACTTGCTTGGGTGCACTGCCAGTAAAAGTCAAACAAAAATTATTTATCGTTATTTGCGCATTCGCCAGATAGCGCTGTAGCAAATTAGTGATGTCATTACAAAGTCGAACTACTTTACTTGCCATGCTATTCTGTACATAGATATAGTAATACTATTACTAGGGTTATGTGCCGAAATGTATAGCTAAAAGTATATGTATCTTTTTTTTTTTTTTTTAATGTTAAAAACTGTTACTTTTATATATATTTTCATTAAAGATGCACAAAGGACCAGGGAAGGTTTCAATTAAGAGGCTCATAGACTTAATGTCTTTATCTCCACATCATCAGAGATTAATTGTTATCACTAAAACGATGGTTCCACATAAACGTAAATTTAGTGTCGAATTGTTAAAAGTAAATAAATGGTAAACTGCCTTCCACAGTGAAAAAAGGTAAAAACACTGAAAGACTTAATTTAATAATTTCGATATCAAAAAAGGGCCAAATCAATTTTGAAGGGTTACATCATGAATTTTGAAAAGATTCTATGTTTTCTTGATCAATGGTCATGTGGTGTAACCAAGGAGGTTAGAATATGCTAACCTCCTTGGGTGTAACAACACAAGAATGGAGCCACTCGTGAAAGGTCCTTCACGTCGGGCCTGGTTAGTGTGTGTTAATTTTTATGCTGTGCTTATCAGTGCTTCGTGCTAGTGATCACCACGTGATATGGAGGAAAGTGAATCTCCTCCGCTTAATTCTACGGATACAGCTGCCGCTGTTCGAAAACGTGTTGCAGGCCTTTCGGATGAAATTCATATTTATGCTAATACTCTATTTGACGACAACTCGACCGGATTAATAAATGCAGATACCCTTTCCTATACAGAACTATCACAGCGTTCTTCAAAAAATTTACCCCGACGCTCAAATTGTGTATTAAACAGATGGATGTGGATATGAATGATCGATTCCTGGAGTGTAAAACTGAACATGAAAGAAAAGCGGTTACTTCTCGTTATCATGGAAAAAAAAAAAAAAAAAAAAAAAAAAAAAAAAAAAGGTATCGCCCAAGGACTTCTCCAGCTCTTTAAATTGTAAGCGTGAATCTTTTGGTGCGATGAATCCTGCTTATGTTAATATGTCTGTTCATGAAGCTGCAAATGAGGTGTTTGCAAAAAATATTAAATTAAATGCACGTAAAAATAAAAATGATTCTAGTTCTGTATCAAATGTTCAAAATGTTGCACAAAGCATTCCTCCCGTTGTATATATAATAAGCCGAAAAAGGCCCTCTAAAAAATCAAAAAGAAGTCCTAATGAATTATTATATACTCATGGCTTTATCCAGCCGCGCAATACGGTTAGGCCAGCTAAATTGGTTACGTGTAATGTTGATATGGCTACTAATAATAAATTCGATAGTTTAGCTGATAATGTAAATGCCAATAATGATAAGAATGCTATGGATATACAGGATGAGCATGATGTTGTGGAAACAGTGCCCCCAAAAGTACAACCCTTAGTGGTTAAACATACAGTCAAGTTTTCAGATTTTGTCAAACTTGAAACTTGAACTTTCCGTCAAAATTACTGGAGTGTTTCTTAAAGTTTTCCCAAAGACTGAGTCTGATTACAGAAAACGTTCTTAGACGATAAGAAAATAGATTATTATATCATTACAAACAAATTGCAAAGAACGATTAAAGGTCGTATTTAGAGGACTTTCAATCGATTGTCCTGTTGATGAAATTCGTGAAGAGTTTGGAAATGTTGGGTATAAAGTGAGAAAAGTTTTCCAAAAGCACAGATCACAGGATGAAAGATGCTGAGTACGACAGGTACTCAGCATCTAAAGTACCTGTCGTATATTTACTATCGTTGGCAGCACTAAAATTATATTATATGCAATGGCAACAGTTATTGTTAGTTTAAATATTGTTCTTACAATGTAACAACTGTTTTATGTGCAGTTTTAGTTGATTAAAGCTTCATTTGAGCTTCTTAAAGAAAGTGCTTGATTATATTTACAATAATTTAATCAACTAAAACTAATTTATACTTTTTATTCCAAAATGAAAAACCTTTTGAAACCAGAAAGATTTGATGTTGACCCTTCCTGTGTTGGAGCGAAATCTAAATGAACTTTTTCAAATTTTCTCACACAAGTGAAGGAGCCAATTGAAGAAAGAAAACTACAGCTGTTATGCAATTTCGTATCTGCAAATGTTTATCAATATATTAATGATTCAAAATCCTATGACAATGCAATTAATGTTCTGGATTCATTGTACATTACTAAAAAATGAAATATTGCCCGGCACTGTTTAGCATCCAGATTCCAACAAACGGGCGAGTCTGTAAATTAATATTTACAAATATTAAAACAGTTGAGCAAGGAATGTGAAATTAAGTCTGTTACTGCAGAAGGTAAACATGAGTATATTAGAGATGCATTCATCCCGGGTTTAAAGAATCCCACGCATTCGAGAATTATTAGAAAATGCCAGTATTTCGTTAGAAAAAGCTTATGACGAAGCTAGAGCCTTAGAACTTGCTGATCATCATTTTGCCTAATATTTAATATCTTCCTCAGCACCGGTAGCTGCTGTTGAACAGTGCGAGATCAAAAATGACGATAGTGAACAATTGGCAGTAGTTGCTCCTATTCGACACAGAAAATGTTTCTTTTGTGGAAGAGACCTTCATTTACGACGTATTTGCCCAGCTAAGGATGCAATATATCGAGGATGTGGTAAAAAGGACCATTACCAAAAGGGATGCAAATCCAAACAAGTATGCAGTACTACTATTTAATTCCACAGCGGCATTTTATACGCTAGCATCAGCTTCAATGCTTCCTCACTGTCTTGAAAGGTCAATAACTAAAGGCCTAGTAAATGGAGTTCAGCTGAATGCCCTAATTAATACCGGTAGTTCACTAAGTTTTATAAATCAGTGTTTTCTAAAAAGATGTCAAATTAAAGCAAAACCATATTTTGGTAGAATAACCATGGCTAGCTCTTCTCTAAGCTCAGATATTACAGGCTGTATTCTTCTGTTGAGATAGAATTTAAAGGTGACAAACCACCTCTTAGAATTTGTTCATTAGCAACTGCTCTTGTAGCCCCTGTGTCATTCCTCTCTAATTTAACGCCTGATTGTACAGAGTCAAGACCCCAAACTGAAGAAGATAGGCATTCATAGCTACAGAAGTATGTAAATTACTTAAAGAAGGTGTAATTGAACCAAGTAATTCTCATTGGCGTGCACAAGCTTTTGTTGTGAAAGGAGAACATCATAGACCCAGAATAGTAATAGATTATTCGCAAACTATAAACAAATTCACTATGCTTGATGCTCACCCATTTCCGAAAATTGAAGAGTTGATTTAGCATGTATCAAAATATAAAATATTTAGTACAATTTGTAGAGTCATTAGGTTAATTGGAAGCGAATCATTAGGTTAATTGGAAGCAGAAGAGAAGAAAAATATGCAACCGCCTTCGCCGGGAATCGAACCACGGACCTCTGGAATACCGGCCCAGCGTGCTGCCGTTACACTACGAAGGCACGCTAGGGAAGTGGGAGAAATACCTTATAAACTGCACCTTCATTTAGGTTAAGTTACTCTATGCTTATGATCAGGTTACTATCAAAGAATCAGAGAAACACTATACAGCAGTGGTTTCCAAACTTTATTTCATCACGGCTCCCTTAAAAATATTTGATCATATGGTGTCTCCCTTCCATTTTATAAAATACTACAAACACAAAAATTTTTAGTACTAAAACATTTATTATGATACACTCTTATACACAAGAAAAAACCAATAACAATATTTTATTATTGGCGCATAATGAGATGGATGTGCTTGCCTATTAGCGCAAAATTTATCAAATCTCTGTGTCATTGATGAGATAGCTATACGAAGCTCCTTTTCTACAACCAAACGAGCACGATATTTCGATTTTATTGCAGATAATGCAGAAAATCCTGTTTCACATAAAAAAGATGTTGCGAAAGGCAGCAATACTTTTAAAGCTTTATTTTACAAAATATTATATTCACTCTTAATATCTAGCCAAAATTGAATCAGAGATACATTCTGAAATTGTTTTAAAGAAGATCACAAGATAGTTCAATCAAGTTTTCTTTCTGAATTACTTGTTAATTCAAATTCGTCATCTTCTTCGTCGATAAATGGATCCACGCATATTTTGTAAAATCAAGATCGTCAAAATAATTCAAAAAATGAATTAACAAACCATCTAAGTGTTCAACAAATAGATTTTTGTTTGCTTTTATATTAACTTGGGCGCATAAATTTAAAAGTGGAAACATGTCGAACCTATTTTTTTCCAAATTTGTCTTCCATATCTCCATTTTTTAATGAATGCTTTCACTTTATCTTTTTGAATCAATAAATGCATTTGTAGCCCTTGCATCGATTTATTCAAAACACTCAATTTTCCAAAAATTTAAACCAAATAGGTAAGTTTAATAATAAAATTATCATCCTTAAACATATTTGCATCCTCATTAGGACTTTCTTCGAGAAAAATTGCAACTTCTTCTTTGAGTTCCAGTACCCTCTGAACAAGATCAGTAAAAGTTGAGCATCTTAGGGTAATGGTTGATCAACCATCAAAAATGCTTTTGCTTGTGAAGGTAAGGTTTTACCTTTCAAATTATGGATAAAAATTTGATTTCCATAAAAGAAATAAACATACTGAATTTAAATTTACAATTTACATTCACATTCACATTGTATTTATTTCCCTTAAGACACCTGGAGAAATAGAATTTTTAAGAAAATTATACTTGATTTATGTGTAGTTAATCAGACAAACAAGAATATGTTTTGAAATGAAGGCAAGTATAAACTAATCTACATTTGAAAAGAAGCAAAAATTTTCTTAAGTACCTTAATTTTACTAAAAACAAGGTATTCCTGTTGCTTTTATATAATCATATTTTACAGAAAATTATAACTTAGTGTATACAAAGAAAATATTC